TAATTTCTTTTGGGTAAAAATCAGATCTCTTTTCTTTGAGACGAGCTTGTGGATTGTACAAGTCGTCGGTGTTTTTCTCATAGTGGAATCTCCCCTCACCCCTCCCGTGGACGTAGGCAATTTTACCAAACCACGTAAATCTCGTATCTTTATTGTTTTCTGGGTGTTGTCTATTGCTTGTAGGTTCGCTCGATATTTTAGTCCTGGAATTGATAAGAGGAAGAGTGCATATTTCACTTTGTTGAAATATTTCACTTTCTATTCTAGTTTCCTTTGAGAAACAAAAGAGTGCATATTTCACTTTGTTGAAATATTTCACTTTCTATTCTAGTTTCCTTTGAGAAACAAGAATTTTACTATCTATTCTATGTTGAAATATTTCACTTTCTATTCTAGTTTCCTTTGAGAAACAAGAATTTTACTATCTATTCTAGTTTCTTTTGAGAAACAGGAATATAAAGGTTGACTTGTGCTTTTGTGACAACAAAAGACAAGGCTATCTCTCAGGTGATATCGCAAACATGAATATAAAGGTTGACTTGTGCTTTTGTGACAATAAAAGACAAGGCTATCTCTCAGGTGATATCGCGGAAGCGGTGGGCGTGACTCTGCGCCCAACAATCTTAAAATTGTTTGTTTGTGGTTAGGGTGGATCAACTGGATAGATGTTGCTTATTGAGTGGTATTTTGTAATCTTTTTTTTTTTCATTTTTACAATATGAAAATTTATCAATAGACGATACTATGGAGGCTAGAGAAAATTATACACAAATCTTTTTAAACAAAGAAATGACCTTTTTTTGTTGTAACTCCCGAGTACGTGACTTAGTAAATAGAGGAAAAGTTTATTCTTAATTTGTCATCTTAAGATTAATTGAAAGAACACATTAATTTTCTTTCTGAAATAGGGGGAAATTTTATGTCTTCTAAGTTTTAGGAATGGAAATTTTATTTGAACCATTTCTATCGGAGCGGAGTGATTTGCAACATATATAAAATAGTTAATATTTCCAAACTAATCTTCGAATTACTCATAAATGATATATGTCAACCAGTGTTCTTCTAATAGAATCAACACTCAAGTTTTAGAGGTGAGGTATTTATAAGAATGTTATAGAGAGCATAAGCGGCTACACCCGAGCAGTACAAAAGTCGTCCATGCAACTATCCTTTATAGTTTCAATTTTTTATGCAAGTACAAAATTCATTTCGGAGGCATTTATGTTTAAATTTTTTGTTTAGGGCTTGTGCGTTTTGGGCCTGCTCTCCTAGCTAAAGGCCTATTCATTTTGGGCTTAACCTTTTTCAGTAGTTTGGATGAGGAAAGAAAAAAATAAAAAGAATTAAGAAAGCTAAGTGTTCATGAAATAGCCTTCCTCAGTTTCATGTGTTTGTTATGTTATGAAATATCATTGAAAAAGTAGGTTATGATCATCATTATTGAAAAGCTTAAGCCAAGCTGAATCATTTTTTATCATGTGAGCAAGACAAACTACAAAAATTTAATCAACGATTTTATAATAGCAATATAAATTGTTCTTAGTAGCCACGTCTATTTGGATTACGAAAACTCTTTCATATTACTATTGAATTTAATACATAGATGACTTTCCTTTTGGAAGGAAGGATAGATTGTTACTAGTGGAAGTTGCTGAGAATGTGTTATTAACATGAAAGCTATAACTGTTAGCTATTTACTCCAATTTTAATTTTAAACTTATCATTCTTTCTTATCCTATTTAACATATGACTATATTCACGCATGACTAACCCTCTACTTTTTTTCGCATCGTACATAATTAGCGCATTGACGGTGCAATTTTAAACAAACTATTATCATCCTATCCTTAATAAAAAAATTTCATTAGTCAACACTAATTGCTCATTCAATTACTACGTTGTGCAAACACATAAATAACATTTTCACGGTATTATTCCTCAAAAAAAAAGGGAAATTCGTAGTCTTCTCAGTTCGCTCAAGGGTTAAAGGTCAAGCTCACCCAAACTAAACCAACTCCGTTTTAGGTGAAGAGCCAATATCTTAAGTTAGCTAATAAATAATCCCGTCACCGCTGGTAAAGTAACCTCGTTGACTCTACGCTGGGTTGATGATCAAATTCAGACGAACATTATATCGGTCACCAACTCCCATACCATCGCAATGAATTACAATCAATGCCCTCAGCCTCCTAATTGGGTCGGGTCTATGATCCACTATTATACCCGAGTTTGAAATTGGATCCAAATGGTGTTGCACTTGATCCATTTTAATATTATTTAGACTATTTTCCGACACATATTATATATACGATGCGTTGTAAAAATAAATAATTCACACATTTCATATACAAAAATGAATCGTCCATAACAAGGCGAATTTCAAACAGGCTATACTATACAACCACATAATAATATTTTTCAAAGTTCAATAACTCAAAAAAGCAATGAATTACTTAATTCATTATTAAAGTGAGTACAACAATTTAAGCAGTAAAATCATAATTTTCAATATAACATTTTGTGATATCACAAAATTAGCTATGGATAAGAGAGATTAGACTCAAATTAGCAAGTTTTTATAAAACATAGAACCAAATATGAGTTGAACAATCACAATTGGTACCTATTAAGTGCAAAATATACAAGCTATTATCCTGTTGCGGACCAATGCATTTTAATCCAATTCATCCGGAGTTGGATAAATAGCAATCCTACCGTAATCCGGAATAAACCGGGTCGGATCCTAATCTAAACCGGGTCAGATCCATGAGGGACATTCTCGTCATTTCTTCATTTCACCAACCGCGGCCACTCGTATCTAGGGCTGGATTGGTAGGTATACCAATTATATTTTCCTAATACCATGTACCAACCAATATATAATTGGTAGGAAAAAGTCACCATTTCTACCAACCAATAATGTTGGTATACCAACTACTTGGTACGGTTGGTACTCGGTTGGTACGGTTGGTAATAGACTTCTATCAAGATATATATGGCCCAAAAATTTAAAGGCCCAGCTCAACAACACTATTACAAAAAGTTAAAAAGATCATAATTCTCCTGCTGCCAAAGTCCAAACCTGTCTTACTAATTGTCTAATTCAGTAATTCATTGTTGCGAAATAAATAAGAAACTAATAACAAATAACAACAAAAATCCAAACTCCAAAGTGTTATACAAATTCAACCAAATTACCGAATACGAAGTCATAAATTGAACATGCCAAAGTCCAAATAGTCAAACTGCCAAAGTACTAACAAATTCATAAAACAATTGAAAAAAAAGAAATGATAGGTCTAAAAGCGGGACATGTTGACATGTTGTAGGCGGTGATAGTGCTAGGCCATAAACCCCGAACGCTTGATGCCTAAGCAGTTGTTTGAACAGAGCTATTGCTACTTGGGCCGCCCCTTACTGCCTCCAAGTTTTGTGTAAAAGCATTCTCTACAACAATAACATAAATACATAATTAAATCCAATAACAAGTCAAAAAACAATATAGCGCAAACTAAAACACCAAGTTTTGTAGCTGAAGTGCATCGTCATCATCCCTACTGCTAATGGCATTACAATTACATATTGTGAGGACCCTAATGTTATGGTTCAAGATCTTGATTTATGTTATAATGGAATTCTAGCCAATCAACTATCTGTATCAACGATATAGGCAAATAGTGTCAAAGTCACAATTAAAACATCATTCCATAGCAAGTTCAATGGTAAATGCCATCCGGTGAATGTCACCTGCGCCTATCTGAAAGGGAAAGCAAAATAGTAAAGCCATCATGTATACAACCATTTATACAATCAAGTAAATAACAGATACGAGTCAACAATTCATTTCACTAAAATCCATTTTCATATATCAAAGAGCACATGCAAAAGATGACAGCTCAATTGTTCCTAATGAACTTTGAAAAGACACGTGTTCTCAGATAATGTTTAGATTAGCAGCAACACTACATGCAAATGATGACAGCTCCATGTATTTTGTTTATTTTCAAAGGTTGTTAATAGCTAAGAATGTACTTTTCCCATATTATCGCATGTTTGTTAGCTATGAATGATATTGTTTATGTATTTTTTTTTATATCAGATAGCTAGACTTCTTTTCTCTACATATATGACCCAGTTCACAAAGTATCAAAGTTTTTCCTTAGTAGATTTCATTTGCTTCTTTATCTCTACCCTCTTTCATTTACATATATCACAGTTAATTCAAAAATAAAAATAAAAATAAACCAAACAACGTAAAGAAAATCAACAATTACAATTACAAGCCCAAGTCAATCCAATTACAAGCAGATGAATAAAATTGACAATGTCGTGGTCCGTGGAAAGAAACTAAAGAAAACCAATATCTCTAAAGAAAACCGAGATCTCTTCTTTTTGTGCTCTCACAGTTTAGCTCGACGGTGTCGTGGCGGCGTGGCGTCGTCGGCGACGGACGGAGGGCGAGCTGGTGGTGTCGGACCGTCGGTGTCGTGGCGGTGATATGGGCTGAAATCGTGGGAAGGGGGAGAGGGATTGAGGAATTTGGGGGAAGTTTTGGGGAGAGGGATTTTTGGGGAGAGGAATTTGGGGGAAGTTTTGGGGAGAGGCGAACTGAGACTGAGAGTGGGAGGCTGAGAGAGATTAGGTTAGGGTAAAAAATTGATGGTTGTGATTTATTTTCCCTACTTCTATGGTTGAGATTTAAGGATATATATTTATATATTATATATAATAATTTAATATAATATAAGTTGGTAGGTACGGTATACCATGGTAGAGGAAAATATGTACCACCTACCGTACCATATTTTAAAGCTGGTACGGTATACTGTACCATGTACCATATACCGATTTGATGGTATACCAACGTATTTGGTACGGTTGGTACATGAATTGGTTGGAATGGAATTGTGTACCATTGCCAGCCCTACTCGTATCAATCTTATTACACATTTACCCCTAACTAACTCGCCTATAAATATCCCTAATCATTTCTCATTTTAGCGATTAAGTTTAGGATAATTATTCCTAATCTCTCTCTCTCTAAAAATGGCCACCATCTCTAAGCTCTTAAACCCTAGCTTTGCTCCCATTTCTCTCTCATCTAATTCTCTCAGATCCGATCAAAAACTTCCAGTTGAGCTCAATCAAGGATCGTCGTCTTCGATCCAGAGCAGAGTCCGTCCGTTGGGGATCTCGATTCGAAGAGATCGCTTCGATCGGAGCTCACCGATGTAATATCACTTCGTCAATCGTCGATTTTTATTTTAAATGAATTATAAGTGATGCTGTGCGATCGTTGAATTTAGGAGCGCAGATCCTAATATCAAGACAAGATTATGATGTTTTGTTTTGGTTTAGCCATCAATTTAGTATTTTGATTTCTACCTCCATTCAATTTCTATTCAAGTACTCATTAAAAGTTTTGGATGTGATCATCTAGTTTCACTATGACCGTCATATATTTTTTATATGGGAGAGCGTATAATTTTCATATCCAATGATATTAGCTTTTACATTCAATGTAATTTTGCAGAAATTAAAACAGAAAGGCGAATCTTGTAGACATTAAAAAAGGAGGAGAAAAGTGTCAAAATTTGTGTCACTCATGCAAATCCTAAGTATCAAATCTTAGCCGGTTTGTTAATTATGTAAACCTTTGCCAGTCTCGTACAATAATATCATGTTCTACCTTACTGAATTCAGCCTCCATGATGTCAGAATGAGATCCTAGTGGTAGATCCGACCTCTATATAGCCATATCTAGTATCTTATAGGCTAGATTCTCTCTCCACTAGACCATGTTTAGCATGGTTATATATCACATACTTTTTTTTCTTTTTTTTGTATAGAGTTCTTTAGTGCCATAACCTATATTACCTGGGTACTCCTAACTGAGTCATACTCGTACCCGGCATGTACCTATACTCGTATCCTACCCAAACTCCTCGGACACTTGTTGCATATATTGAATACATTTATTTGGGCATATACTCACTTATGCAATATATCTTTTAAGTTAAAATACTTCTTGGGCATATATCCTACAGTTCACATCCACTTCCTATAACTCATTGGACATAGGTCGGGCTTCAAACTATTATTTAAATGGTCGTTTGGGTGTCGAGTTAAAAAATGATGGATTTCTAATTTACAATCCACATAATTAAAGAAACATAAAAGTATTATAAGAATTTAATTCTCATAACAGTGAATGAGAAGCAATATTGATCTCATGTAAATAATTAATTTCAATATATGTATATACACACGCGTGCGCACACACATATATGTGAAAAGCAATATATGTATGTGTATATAAATATTTATATAGCAGTATCATGTACCCTACCTTTTACAAATTTGTCGGTACCTGTACCGACACCCACACTCATATCTGTTAAGTATCTAGATTTTCTTGGCTGGATCTGGCCCCCATTTGGTTGGATTAGTTGCTTTCTCCTGTTATTGTTGGATTTCTCATTGTTAAAATTAACCTTCGCATGGAGGGATCTAGGTTCTTTATGTCGGATCTGTCCTGACTCGCCTGAATCAATTCCTTATTATTGGTTACAGTGTTCACATGGCAGCAACAGATTCCTTGTTAAGGAAGAAGAATAAAATAAAGCAAAAAGTATTAGAAAGTTAGAATGATTAAGGGAATTTCGCGTACTTTCTACAAGTGAGAACAAGTGTGCATGAAGAGGACATCTCCACATTCATATTCAAAAAATAATTGAAGAGAGTTGAGTACATAGAAAAGGGTTGGACATGGGATTTCCCACTCTCTAGAAAGTAAAAACCAACTTTATAGTTGCTACTGCTGCCAACTTCCACACATTTGTGAGTTGACATGATGGCGGAGATGTTTAGAGTCATTGATTACATAAACAATAAGAATTCTAATGAAGCAAAGGGTTTTGAGACCTGTTAGTGTTCACGTGTATGTCTTTTCAACTCTGAGTTCTTTGCTTTTGACGGTCTTACCATAATGCTTCTTTTCTTTTATGTTCTGTCTGTTCTAGTGTGAGATGCTCCCAGCTGGGTGGAAATGGAACCCCTTCAAAAAGAACAACCCTTCATGACCTTTATGAACAACAAGGCCAATCTCCATGGTATGACAATCTCTGCAGGCCTGTAACAGATCTGCTGCCTCTTATTTTAAGTGGAGTCAGGGGAGTCACAAGCAATCCCACGGTAATTTCTCTTGCATAAATGCAAAACTGTAGCACCTCGAGATTGAAAATATTGTAGCTGATATTTTAGCATTGCAACTTAGAAATAACTAGTATATTTGCTGCTGCAGATTTTCCAAAAAGCAATCTCATCATCCAGTGCATATGATGAACAATTCAGGTATTCTTGTAAAAAATTGCTATGTGATTTCTCTAGATTGGATCTTTCTCTAGTAGTATATTGAATCATTGACCGTACCTGCTAACTTGTCCTGGTAGATCACCTCAGTAACTTCGACGACTGCTTAACCAACTATGCTGATATGGTTTTTTCTTACCTATATCTTGTTGCCTCAATCACAAACTAAAGTGATTGTGCATCGCTGTCAGTGATGATAACACTGACTTCACGTCCCACTAGTCCCTAGGTTACATGTGCACTTTGCATGGTTGTGGAATTATTGTAACAAAAGAGCAGTTCACACTTGTTGTGATTGCACCATGGTAATTTTCACATGTGATTTGGTGGGCATTTTGCCTCAAGTATCACAATAGATCTATGTTATTTGGGCACTTCTAATATGGACCCGTACCTGACACTTCTTGGACATTCCTAAAATATATGCATATATTTATTCAGACATGTACTCGATTATACAATGCATGTTTAATTTAAAACACTTGTCGTATACTTCTTGGATATATATCCTACACTTCAGATCCATTTTTATAACTTGTGGGGTAAGGGTCAAGTTCATTTTAGCCTTAAGAATAACAATTTTTAAAAGGCTGTTTATATATATATANGTGAGTTTTAGCCGTGTCCCTGTACCCTTACTTTTACAAATTGCAACGTAGCAGTAGAACATTATAACTAGTACCAACAGGCATTGGTGGGCATGCAGAAGCAAATATAAATTAAAAAAGAGAATAAAATAAACAAAGAAATACAAACAAGAAAAGAAAAGAAAATATGGAAAGAACTAAAAAAGAAGTGGTTTAGGCTTCACCCAACCTTACCATCCAAACCTTTTCATCCAACTTGATGTGTTTTGAGTCTCGAAGAAATCACAAATATTACCAAGTATGCAACCCAACATGTATGAACTTTTTATAAGGTTATTTGGACTGAGTCAAAGAAATTTAGGTCAGGTTGCATTACTTTGGCCCAACAGTTTGCTGACTAGGGTAGAAAATTATCTTCTCAATCTTGAAATTTATGTAGTTTTTTTTGCTGGTATATTTCTTTATGCAGCATGACCAAAAATCTTTTAATACTTGGTTACTTAGAGTGATTTAATTTGTATGCTGGAATTGCAGGCAGCTTGTATCAGCTGGAAAAGATATAGAAAGTGCATACTGGGAGCTTGTAATAAGGGATATCCAAGATGCATGCAAACTTTTCGAGCCAATTTATGATGACACAGACGGAGCTGATGGTTATGTATCAGTTGAGGTGTCCCCAAGACTTGCAAATGAGACAAATGGGACTATTGAAGCTGCAAAATGGTTGCACAAGGTGGTTCAGCGGCCAAATGTTTACATTAAGATCCCAGCTACTGCAGAATGTGTTCCTTCTATCAAAGAAGTTATTTCACATGGTATCAGTGTCAACGTAACGGTAAGTTTGCTTGCATGTGTTGGCTAAAATTGTAGTATCATCCAGTGGCGTAGCGAGGAATTGGAGCTTTGGGGTCACCATTGTTTATTCACTTAAAAAATTACTGAAGTTTGCGTAAACAATTAAATAAATAATCACATTCAATATATTACGACTTTTTTGAGTTAAAGGTTTGGATCTCAAATTCAAGAATCCGAACCAAATATTATGTATAAAATGATTGTTTACCAAAAAAAGTACGCCATACTCCAAAAGTACAGTTAGAGTTAATACAATTATCTCTAGAGAAATAATGACATCAAGCTTGAAAATGACATTTACAGACTAACGGGATGGTTTGACATTTTTTGTAATTGTTGCATGATTGCATCACTGTTGATATTTTCAAAAACATCATAATCGATATATGTTACTGCTATAATTTGTATCAAGTTGATTACATGGTTTATAATTGAATTCATTAGCCATAAGCAAAGAAATCAGTTTCATTTGATGGCACAGTTGATAATCTCTTACGATCTGTCTCTGTTCTTATGAATGTTGCTAGTGGGATTAATGCACAAACAATGGTATGTAGAGAATTTTGTTTATTTCGGACTAAATTAGTTAATAACGAAGGAGACATTACTGTCAATAAAGATAGGGGAATTATTAAGCTCGTTATAGATATTTCAAATTGTTACAAGCTAATGAAACAATGGTTCTATAAGATAAATTTATTTCTCCATGCAAACAAAGGTTTACAACTAATATGTCATAATATTTCATTTTACCTGTATGCATCTAAGCTAGCAAATCCCAAAGGCATGTATATATACATTAAGCATGTATATATACATTAAGTTGGGCCGCCACTGGTATCATCATCTTAAAAACTCACATGATTTAGCTGAAAATTGCTCCATGTGAAACCTCATTTGCCTCCTTATTTTTTCTTTGATTACTTTTTTTAGTACTTATTTTACATTTCCTGATATATATTAGTCCCTATTGATATAATTTCCTTAAAACAACTTAAAATTTTTATTAAGGTTTATTGCCCAGACCCATCAGCTTAATCTTGTGATTGAAGTGATCACTGGACATGTTTCTTTTCAGAAAATGTGTCGTCTGGAACTATGGTACATGCTATTTTATTCGTTTTACTTGAATTATTCTCAGCCTTCATCTCTCTTCAAGCATCTCTCTTCAAGCTCACTGCCACATGCATATTTGTACTGTTGTCCTTTTGTAGAACTGGAATTGTCTAGGAGTAGCTTCTTCAAAAAATCACTTAGATCTCTTGGTTGAGGTGATCACTGGACATGTTTCTTTTCAGAAAGTGTGTTGTCTAGAACTACAATACATGCTATTATCCATTTTGCTTGAACTATTCTCAGCCTTCATCTCTGTTCAAGCTCACTGCCGCGTGCAGGCATCTTTGTACTGTTGTCCTTTGTAGAACTGTTATTGTCTACTACTATAGGACTAGCGTCTTCTAAAATCCACTAATTGATAAACCTTTTGCACTTTATCTCGAAGTGGATTCTTCTATTGTTACATATGGTACTGATTTTCTTTTATGATGCGCAGCTGATCTTCTCGCTTGCAAGATATGAAGCAGTCATAGATGCTTATCTGGATGGTCTCGAGGCTAGTGGACTAAGTGATCTTTCAAGACTCACCAGTGTGGCTTCCTTCTTTGTTAGTCGGGTTGATACCTTAGCTGACAAAATGCTTGAAAAGATCGGGACACCTGAAGCTCTTTGCCTTCGAGGAAAGGTAAGACAATATGTTAAACATTATACTATGAAGCAAAGGGAACTTGTTTAAAGTTTTCTAACATTTTTCCTTCTTAAATCATTTAGGCTGCGGTTGCTCAAGCATCTCTGGCATATAAGTTGTATCAGAAGAAATTTTCTGGTCCTCGATGGGAAGCCTTGGTGAAGAAAGGTGCCAAGAAGCAGAAGTTGCTATGGGCTTCAACAAGTGTGAAGAACCCTGCATATCCTGATACTTTGTATGTGGCTCCTCTCATTGGACCTGATACGGTGAGTTCTCAAAGCTGTCTTCTCTTTACCAACATATCTGATATTAAAGTTGTTTTTGAAATGTTGCATGCTTTGGCAGCTTTGCTATCTCTGTACATTCATATTATAGTCCAATCAGTAAGCGTGAACCTATTGCTTCTGAAATGTTTAAAACAAAACACATGGGAAAAGTCATGCACATAGGCACATGCACATGCGTAAGGACATGCTTACCTATGAATAGAGTTTAGGCAAGAATCTGATATAAGTCTAGAGCTATTGGTGCGTAGGAGTGATCGTGCTCGAGTGGTGCATAATTACAAGAAGCTACATGCAGAAAGAATTGGAGTCTGAATATGGTTTGATTTGATTTCAAGTAGGGATTTGTTTACGAGTAGGGAATTGTTTAGGAGTAGGAATTTATTTACATATAGGATTTGTTTAGGAAGCCAAAACAAGGGCTATTTAAGGCCGGCTAGGTATTAGGGTTTTATTATGTTTTTTGGTGATTGAAAACTTGGGTGATTTATCAATAAAATTACTGATATGCACTGGATAGACCCAATAGCCCTGTAATATCTCTGAAATAAGCAAATTTGGATGTCCTGTGACAGATGTTATGTAGATCCACCACTATTTATATTTCACCCCATATTCCATTGCTGACATATCTCCATTTGATCGTTCCAGGTCTCAACAATGCCCGATCAAGCCCTGCAAGCTTTCCTCGACCATGGCATTGTCTCAAGAACCATCGACTCAAACCTACCAGAAGCTGAAAGAGTCTATGGCGCCCTAGAAAAGATGGGCATCAAGTGGGACACAATCGGGTCTCAGCTCGAACAAGAAGGCGTCGACTCCTTCAAGAAGAGCTTCGATAGCTTGCTTGTTAGCCTCGAGGAGAAGGCTGACTCTCTCGAGCTGGTCAGTAAGTAATACGGCAAAAGTTAGTAATAACGCCGGGTTCCTGTTTTTTTTTTTGTTGTGATTTTTGCATGAGAACTTAAAAAGGAATAATTGTAAGCGAATGTAATGGAAGGAAGTTTTCCTTGAATCTTTGGAGCTCATTCTTGTTTATAAAGGAGCCCGATGGATGAAGCAAAGGATAGAAGTATTCAAGAAGTGAATCTGAAGCAAAGAAGACATGATGTAGATTCTCAATTTCTATTCATGTTCTTTTTCGTTTAAGAAATGATATTCTTTTCTTTTTGTCACTGATTTGTATCTCTTTCCATTTACTGTATGATTTTTCAACTTATCAAGGTAAATTGTTGCAGGATAATAGTACATCCTTTCTATGGACTGAAAGTCTATGTGACTCCAGTTTATGCATAGACGTAATACCAATTGAAAAACCTCGTTCTGATTCATTTATTATGCACTAAATGGCCCATTATGATTTAAATAGTTTTCTTATCTTTTTCTTTTTTATGATAATCCACGAATTCAAGATTGTGAGAGTTGGATTATTTCAAATAGTTTTTATGTAATCCCGATTTGGGTGATTTTAAATAGTTTTCTTGATACGCAGAGAAAAAGATATTTTTTTTTTAATTTTTGGGCGTGGGGATAATCTTTGTTTTCAAATTCAAGAATTTCATATTTCATATTCCTCACCTAGAGAATCTACGCGTTCGACGGTGATGGTATCAGACTTTGTAGATGGGACCACTAGCAATCAAGCGGACCCCACGTGGGTAGGTGTGCAATGGGTAACGTCCCAAGGCCAGCTCCAAAGGATTTTTAGCATGCTTAAAATAGTAATTTTTGTGGTGTTGTATATATTTGCTCCTCCGAGGATGCCGTGAGATCCGATTCTACGCCACCCTTATCACGTGCGGGGGGCTTTACAGTTTAATAATATACAACTACAAGGGGCAGAAGACAAAAAGCCGACTACTGATGGCTGGCTTTGCTTCGGCTCTCAAGCCAAGCTCCATGGTTGCCGAGTTTTACTCCTGTTCCAATAGGATTCCTTCAAATTTCAATTACTTATTTCAATTAGGTGCCAATAAATTAACTTTTTCTCCTTAAAATCAATATCCCGTTTTAAGGGGAGAACCCAGTTTTAAACAAAGGGAAGAATCAAATTCATTCTCTTCTCTTTTGTAATCGAAATCCAAATTGTAATTGAGATCGAAGGAATACAAATCCATTTTTCTTTCATTTCTTTTACATCGAATTTTTCCACAAACACCGTTTTTTACTTTTGTATCTTGTAATCTATGTTGAAACGTTCATGATGCGTAATGAATATATCATTTTGTTTTTTTTTTCGTTTTATGAGGAAT